GTAGACCATTTTTGTCCTAATACACCACAAGCATTTTATTGTTCCCTAAACCAAAACTATTTGTTAAATTCTTCTTGAATGGGGAAGCAAAAGTAAGCTTTCCATAGTTTGCTATAAAAATACACTTAACTGTAAATGTGAAATCCAATTGAAATAGTTGATTTGTGCAGTATTTGAGTCTCTTTTTTTCAGCTCCACAAATTTAGACAGCAACATAGTTGTGCTTCCTAGTGTGTAATGCTTGCACTGCTTGACTTCTATTTTATTAATGAAATGACTGTCAAGGTGGATGGATAGAGGGGTTAGAAATGGAACTGAAGGATGAGTGTCAAGGTAGGTAATTACAAAATTCATAAGGCTTGGGATTTAGTTGGAGAGGAGCAAGTAAAATAGAAATTGTGTTGTCATCAGGCCTTTTTAACAAACTCATGAGTTACATTTAAAAAAAATCTGATTGTCAGTCTTTTTTTTTTTTGCTCGAGCAGAAATACAATTCTTGATTGCTGAGTGTTGCTGAATGTTTTGCCTTGTAATTGGTATCAGGTTGTAATGCATCTGATGTACTCAGTTGTCAGGTATTTATGGATAATGAGAATTAAATGTTTGAAAATACTCTGCTGTAACTAACAGTAGTACAAGCTGTATCTTCCACTTGTTTGATACATAGTGTACTTCTGGGCGATAAACAAAGAATCACAGAATATCCCAGGAGTCCAATCCTGGCTCCACACAGCACCACCCAAACCCAGTGTGTGGGAGCACTGTCCAAATGCACCTTGAGCTCTGGCACTCGGGGCCATGCCCACCGCCCTCTGGCACAGACCCTGTCCCGAACCCTAGCCTGACTCTCTCCTGACACAGCTCCATTCTCTTGTGTCTGGTTGCCTTCACACAGAGCAGAGCTCAGCGCTGCCCCTCCGCTCCCTGTGAGGAGCTGCAGCCGCCATGATGCCTCCCCTCAGCTCCTCTGCTCTGCGCTGAGCAAACACAGGGACCTCAGCTGGTGAAGTTGAAAGTAATTCCAGAGTAAATATCAGAAATATGGCCAATTCATTTTGTGGAGTTGTGTTCCATGGATGAAGAGGAAATGTAAGAGTTAATCCCATGAGCAGTGAGGTTTATGGCAAGTACCCTGAAGAAATGGGGGAGGGAGGGGAAGATCCATGGTGAATCTCAGGATCTTAATGGAGACTGCTGAGCTGGGGCTGGGCCAGAGGAGCAGGTATTTTCCAAACAGATTTGAGGTTAAAGCATGAAGTCCAGTTTGTGTCAAATTTGAACAGTGCTTAAGCAGCTGTGGTGTTAGAACAATAGCGGTGGTCTCTTTTAATGAATATTAATTTTTAAAAAAGATTTTTTTTTCCAGTTGTAGTGTAAGAGAAAAACTAAGGGTTCTTTTGGAAGTGTGTGTCAGTAAGAGTTATTTTGTAACTTCTGTATGACTCTAGCTGTTTTATGTCTGATATTTCATAACTCAGCTCTGCAACCTCCTGCCTGGCTGTTCTCTTTAGAGTATGCTGAAGTTTTCATCAGTGGTAATCTGTAAATTAATTACAGAAATGCGATGTCCTGGGTAACTGTGTGCTCAGTGAGCAAGCCCAGTAAAGTAATAGAGGAAAAGATGACAAGATTAATCAGTTCTAAGGAAGTTAATGCTGTTATTTCCCTGGTGTGCAGAACAAATGACTTGTGGAACTCAAGTTACAAGATACACTTCTTCTTTTGATTACAGTTACATCAGGCTTCTAAAATGGGACATGTAGCATCATTACTTCTCTCTTGCTTTATATGTATTGCTTTTCCATCCTCAGTTAATGAAAGAGTCTGGTCTCCATTTCTTCTGTGTTTTTCTGATAGGCTTATCTGGATTATTTGTCTTGTGACATAAGAAAATGTTTTTGGAGGCTGTTTCTGTTTCTTCTATCTTCCCCCCCCNCCCCCGAAGTCTTGTGTTGCTTGATTGAACATTTATCCCTCATTCCTTCTCCTAGCTCCTTTTTATCACTTTAATCTTTTTGAAAGTGTTATCCACCTGTCTGTTGTGAGACTGTAGATGTCTTATAGATGTCTGTGCAGCTCCCTCCTTTTTTTTTTTTTTTTTCCTCTGGGATACTGCTGTGAGAAACGTGAGGAGGGGAGTCGTGCATCAAATACTTTTCTGTTCAACTTGAACAAGGTCATGGTTAGAATGGATGACTATGAAAAGTTCCTGAGTTTTTGGCCTCTCCAAAATCAGAGGAAAGCTATTTTGTTGACCCTGAACAGTTTTTGCTGAGTGGTTAGAACTCCTCTTTCTATAGATAATTCTCTTTGCTTTTCTGGCTTTCAGAGTTGTCAGGCATAAAAACTGATTCATCTGGGATGACAAAAGAAGGCACAGTACTTGAAGAGAGTGATGTGAAGGCTTGTGAAAATTGGTTACTCTTTTTTCCATTTAGTATTACTGTCCAAGTTGTACTGAAAATGTTCTGCATGCTTTTACAAGCAACTAAGAAAGCATCTAAAAAAACTGAAGGGATGAGGCCAGTGGTAATGTTCTGTTTTTCTGAGACTATATATATAAAATAGGTTATGGTTGACTAGAAGGTCAAATTAACACTGATGCTATGGCTATGATGACAAGCATATGGAAGAATGCCCATCGCCTTTGCATATGTGGAATTTCAAAAGTTACTACTGCAGGATGTCATAGTGCTGGTGAAAGGGTACTCGGTACATGAATGGCTGGTTTCCTTCTCTGGGGTAGCTTTATGCAATGCAAAGCGTGTCTTTGTGGAGCTTATGTTCATTGTGGGGGTGCTTTGCTGGTCTAATATGTGAAGATTTCTCAACTGAAGTGCTCATGCTGCAGATGTAACTTAATAGACTCTGTTCTAATAGACTCAAAGGATCTTTTTTCCTTGATAGGAGGAGAGATTTTTTTTTAATGCAGTTGTTGCTTTTTTTCTAAGCTATGAAGGTGCAGTGCTTTACTGCATGTGATGTAGTTGATAAAAGATGGCCTGATAACAGGGGTGAAGTAAGTGGGGCAGTTATAATGTGGATGTCACAGGCTCAGAATGGACTTGTTTGCTAAATCTAAATAAATAGAAAACTGAGAACTTATCAGTTGGATAGAGGGAAACACTTGCACTAGGTCAAGCGACCATATCATTTTCTCAGGGGCATAGCTTCACTTCTGTCTGCTTTATCTCTGTGAATATGTAACAGATATTTCTGAAGTGGACAAGAAAAACTGAGAGTAAGTGAAACGAAAATGTGCTATGAAATGTGCAGTCAGAATATTGATCAGATGTTTTTCAATTCTGCTGTTTTTACCCACTGTTAAGTGCATCATCTCTCCCTCCAGAGCAATCAGAAGAAGGGAAAAATGCTTTGTAAGTGAGGAAGCAGTATTGTAAAATCATTTAAAAGTCAAACAAAACATGGAGATTATGGATTGGTGTAATAGATGGCAATAAGTTAATCTTTTCAAATGTTGGCAATTTCTGTTTAGAGCTCCCTTATTTTTAGCACTGCTGTTGAAAACATGGTGGTTGACATTCAGTTTGCCATTGCTCTAGTCTTTTTTATGCTGTGAAGATAAACTCTGTAGAGGATAGGTGAAAAGATGATTCATGATTACAAAGAGAGGGTTTCTATTTGTTTAGTGAGGGGAGGGTTGTGGAGATACTTACAGGAGATGGAGTCAGGGCAGAAGTGTGAGCTTAAGATTATTTGAAGCAAGGGTTGTTTATCTATGAATAATTTAAAGTAAAGGTGATCTTTGTTCTGTTTTGGAGGCAGTGGGAGTAGAGTTGTGTTTAAAGGTGGCAAAGGATGCTTGCCCAAGCAAAATGTCTAAAGCTCTGAGGATCTTAGGCTTATTAAGTCTAAGTAGTTACTTATTATACTCAAACTTACTTAGCTGGAAAAAGAGAAGCAGGAAAGAACAACAGGAACGATGGCTGTATTTAAAATAATGTTTCTGTCTCACTTGAACTGCACAAGTAATTTCATCTGTATGGTCTTACAGTCCTAGCAGTTTATTGTAGAATGGCTGGAGCCAATCGAAGATGAAAGAATGAAGACTGAAGTAGAATATTGTTGGCTGTTTACTCTTCAGCAGGAGGCTATTGCTCCTTCCCTTTCCAAAACAGTATGTTGGAGCACAGTTTTTCATACCATACAAATGATAGATGTTTGGCTTAATGAGTTTAGAAATGAGTAAGGACTCTGATTTTTATACTCATTTGTTTCTAAATGTTTTTTTTTGTTGTTACATGAAGCATTTGTTTTTTTGTTTCAACCTCCCAGGGCTTTCCTTAGAAAATTGCAAAAAGCATTTTATGAATAGCTAATTTGGAAATTAGATGATCATCAAACATAGCACCTTCTGTTTACTTATTATTATTATTATTTGCTCCCACATCTTAGCTGTATTGTTGTAGATAGCTACTGGTACTTCCTACTTACCCAGTGCTTAATGGGAACTGAATGTTCAGTTTCCTTTGCTTGACTTTCAGAACTAAACTCAGAACAACTGCGTGTGAAATGAAATACAATCACAGAAGTGAAGATACATAACTTTAATTGTGCTCATCCTTCTGCAAAAAGAACTCCTCCTTTTCAGAAGACTGGTTGCAGGGAATTAGCATGTATAAAGGTTGTAAATGCAAAGGGAAAAAAACAACCAACAGAAAAGAAACTGTCTCTGTCTTCAGTGCGTCTCTTTAGTTAAAGCCTTCTTTCCTTGCTTTTGTGACTTGTATGAACCTCACTGTTAATCTGGAAGAAACCTGTGCGAAAGAATAAAATTCCTTAAGAAAAAACACCCCAAACCCCCAAAACAACTATTAGTCAAAATAATACTACCTTATAAAATTGGTTGATTTACTAAGTGGCTTAGCCTTGTTTATTTATGATTTTTTTTTTTTAATTTTATTTTAAGATAGATATATGCTCCTCTAAGTAACTGCTTGAAAAACCCTTTCACAGAAACTTTGTATTTCTTTGAACAGGTACTTTGTGCTGGATTTTGAGACGGGAATTCTGCAGTATTTTGTGAATGAACAAAGTAAAACCCAGAAGCCTCGAGGAACCTTGTCTTTAGCTGGAGCTATAATATCACCCAGTGATGAAGTACCGCACATGTTGGTGGTCTACTCAGCTAATGGAGAGATATTTAAGCTGAGAGGTACAGTGCTGCTTAAAGTACCAGCTTCCCTTTCTTGCTTCTGCATCTCCTCTCATTTATCTCTTACTTCCCTGTACTGGCAGAAGGCAGTGGTTGTACAGCTTTATTCTTGCATACTACGCTATAAAACACAATGGAATCGTAATGTGGAGTTAAGTAGATATGAATTTACAATGCATGTTGTCTATGGGAGGTACCTCAAGATAAGTTCTCTAAGTTCTTAGAGTGGCACATTGATTGTTCAGTGCATCTAGTTCGCTTCTGAAGGAAGGAAGAGTTATTTTTGTTGGTGTCCACATCATAGCATTTGATTTCTAATCTTCTCCCCTGCCACTATCGTGCCAACAAAATGTAGTAGTGAATCTCCTAGAGGGTTGAAGAAGAAAGAATGCCAGTGAAATACTATTAAGATTCTCAATTTTTAAATTTAAAATTTTTCAAGGATGGCCAGGGGATTGTATCTTTAAGAGACATACCAGCAAAATACAGATATAAAGAGAAGTTCAGCTGAACTGCACTGAAGAAGAGTTGAAGTGTCTGCAGAACTTGTAGCTTGTCTGGTTGATGGGCCTGGATATAGAGTTTTCACATATTTAAATGTCCTTCATGGACAGCGATGATTAAAGGAAAAGTCAAAAGCCATCTTGAGGTATTTCTGCTTTTAATATTGTCTGAAACTGGTAAAGAGTGTCTCAAATCAACATGAGACAAATAACAACTGGTGGAGATAACCATGAAGTGTCATAAGCTTATGCCACAGCATCTTGAGATTTACATGTATTGTACTTCAGAAATTGCACATACTTAAATTAGAGTAAACTAGAATGTACAGTCCCAACGAGTAAATAACCTCCCTCTCTCTTTCTTCCTTCTCCATTCCCTCTTGTCTCCTCCTCCCTTCATCTTCTGTTACCCAAAAAAGAGTTCTTGTGTGATCCCTTGCATTCTCTTGCTTCTGTTCTAGCTGCTGATGCAAAGGAGAAACAATATTGGATCAATCAGCTTCGATCCTGTGCCAAACATCACAAGGAAGGTAATTCGAAGGTAAATAATTAAGAGGGAAAAGTAACGACTGTTTTAAGTGATGTAGGTGAGGAACAGAATTATCTGGATGACAGACTGGCTGCTGTAGTTCTTTAAGTCAGTTGGGCTTCTTTATTTTTAAATAAACATTGTCCAATTCATGGGAAATTCATGAAGTGCATTTTGGATGTTGTCAATAGATGGTTATTGAAAAATTGACCATCCATTAATAAATACCTGTGTGATATGCAGATTAGTATTTAATGGCTCTTTTTAAGAAGCTTTGTGTATATGTTAGCAGCGGTCAGTTTTGCAACTTCTTTAACAAAGTTGGAAAGTGTCGTCATATGAAGATTAATATTAATTCCTTCTCTTTAGAAGTGATGTCTGAATTTTTCTCCTCAAACAGACGAATGTTTTGAACAGGTACTTTAAAAATAGCAGAATGATGAGTTGAGTGTTCTCTGCCTCTCGGCAGAAATGGTTTTAACCTATTTAAATTCCAGTAAATCTTGAAGGTGAGAGAGATTACAAAATAAATAAAAACAATTTCAGGAAAAAGTTGTTATTTTTATTTTGTGTGCTTTTAGTGTAGATACTGAAAGTCACTTAAAAACAACCAGCAATTTCTGTTCTCACCTTCAGTCTTTTAAACGCTTCTGTTAATATATTTCCAAGAATGGAAAGATTGCTTTCCTGCTGCAAATTGCTTGCTATATAAATAAATAAATGCATTTAACTGCAATTGGAAAGGGCTCTGCCCTGCCACATGATATATCATCATATGTTAGCTGAACAGCTGGATGGTATTTTTAAGAGCATGGCATTCACTGCAGTGTCTGAAGTGAAATAGAAGTATTTTTTTCTGCTTTTTTTTGAGCGATGGTGACTTGGTAGGAAGTTATTCTAGTGCAGTAAAAGCCTTTTCTGAGAAAAATAAGTAACTTAGTTTTTCATTAATCTTTTTTCATTTTTATGCCAGACATTTAAATGTTGTTTTTGTATGACTGTGACCTAGTGCTATTCTCAATGTATTTTATTTATATATACTATATAATACCATCATGTTCTCTAATAATGATATCTTATAATAATTTTGATAATCTTCTTGAATCTTTTGTAAAACGTGTTCCTTTACTGAATTTTCCTGAAGTCCTGCAGGTGTAAGCAACACATAGTTAAATCTGAATCTGATTATATCCCTTTCTCATAACACGTTATGTTCTTATTGCAACACAAAACAGTTGTATGAAAATGTTGCTTGCATACTGACTGAATATTGTCCAAAGGTGAGCTGCACGGCTGACAAGTAGACATAATACAAGCTAAGTCTGTTGCTGTGTTCTAATTAAATTTTACATCTTAATGATATAAAAGCAATAAAAGGATAATGTTCTGGCAAATAATACCCGTGCTGTAGGATAATTCCAGTGTTCTCAGTATCCCCATAGAAGTTTCATTTTGCTTAATTACAGAGCACTTAGCCTCCAGAGAGTGCCAAATCACACTCGTTGGAAGAAGTCATCTGTGTCTGGATAGGATTGCTGCTTTTTTTTAAAGACTATTCTAAGTCAATTGGATTGTCTGTGTCTTAATTAAAGTCAAATTGGAGTTTGGAGAGAAAGTGAATTCAAGAAGTAGGCCCATGCATGATTTTTTTTCTGATAACTTCTGAGAATTGTCCAAAGCTCATTCAATTTTCAATTTCTTTTCCCTTCTTCTTGAATGTTTGATGATGGTGGCTGTAAAACCGCTACTAAATACACAGAGAGCTTTTTATACAACTCTTGTAATTTCAGCATATGTATCAGTTGTTGGATTGGCATATATAACCCTTGTTTTTCTCAGCATGTATCAGCAGCGTGGCAAGGAACAAAAGCCTTTATCTTGTGAAGCAGCTTGTGCTATGAATTGTGGTGAGATGGAAACTCTCACTTAGGCTTGTAGAAGAACAAAGGACTAGACTCCTTGTTCCAACACTCAGCTCAGAGCTGAGCAGTGAGCTGCTGAAAATTGGATGGTGCAGTTTCTTATTTCACCTCATACCATCTTCCAGTTCTCTGCAGCTGCACACAGCAGTCTAGTTCCCTTCCTTTTGCTGCCACGTTTTGTGCAGGTTCTGCTGTGTTTCACGCCTATGGGAGCTTGGGCATAAGAAACTGGCTCGCTGAGGAATCAGGTGAGCGCTGATAAAAGGCAAGCAGGAGACATGACACTGCTTATCATATGGTAAAGCCCTGCTGTCTTCCTCCTCCTGAATGGAGAATGGTCAAAATGAATCTGGCCAGAAACTAACTTTCCTCTGGTTTAGTTTCAGGCTATGTGTTTAAAACTGAGCCAACCGGATGACTGCTTGTCTCTGAGAGATTTTCTGGCTCTCCTTCCTCTCAAGCAGTGTTTCTTGTGCCTGTTACAACCATTGTCTGGCCCTTTGGAAAGGCTGTTTGGTGAACTAAATTAGCAGAAAATTTTGTTTACTTTTCTGTCTCTCCTCTGGTTTAACTCCCTGATGTTGTTGTCATTGGAATCAAATGGGCATCATAGCCTGTATGGAGAGAGAGTAAAGAATGAAGATCAAAACTGCTCCTCCAGGGACAACTGCAGTGATTTATCTGTAATTTAGAAACAGCACCCATAGTAATTTCTGGATGTTTGAAGTCAGTACTTGCCTCAAATAATTGAGGCGCATATGTACTACTTCCTCTGCAGCTGGAAGAATGACTGTCAGATCTTTGCTCTTCTTCAGTTTTCTCAGGTTCCTTTTTGCCTTTCCTTCTGCCTGGTATGCTTTTCCACTTCTCTCTTTCTTGATCTGGAGAACAGTAATAAAGCATCGTGCTTCTATTTAAAACATGCTTTGGAAATAGTCATTGTAGTGAGGCTGAGAAGGATGCACGCTGCTTGACTCTAGGTATGTGTTTTTCATTTCCCTTCAGAACTTGCATGAAGGTAGAGTTGCTCACATCTGTTTTCTAAATCTTTGAAAGAATTCTTGGAGAAAAAAATTCAGGGCTGAACATAAACATGCTGAAATGATTCTTGACAAATAAAATATTTTTATGAGCAAATAAATGTTATTCTCTTGCTTAAAAGCAGACAAATGTATCGTCTTACCTAAAGGTGATAAAGCGTGGTAATAATCTGTCAGAAAAGTTTGTGCTGGAGATAAAGCTCTACACAAATATGCAGAGGATCCCATAAGCTCATCCCTTTTCAATGCTAGGATTTGGATTTTATGTAGTTTGTCATTTGCATTTTAATATTTCTGAATGATAAGAATGTAGTTTAAACAGATCGATGCATATTCTTCTTCAGTATTTGCTTACTTAGGATGCATTGGAGAAAGAAATAGATAGGAATTAAAATACTGAATGGTGGTGTCTCAGTTGTAATTACTTTCTGACTGCATGACTTCTCATTGCTTTAAAGCTGTACACAGGGATTTGTGCTGTGCTGTATATGTATACAGAGGAGTAGAGGAATGTCATTTCAGTATTTATTATTCTGTAGAAAACATCTGTGGCACGGTGCCTCTGAAGCAGATGATGATTATCATCCATAAACAGATACGACAGTTCACTTCAAAAATTAGTTTATTGATCTCTGGAACATTGCATTTGCTTTTGAAAATAAACAAAACTGTTTGCTTCTGGTAAATGGTGAAAAACTCTTCTCTGTGAGGAAAAAGAGTAATCTCTAGGGAAAATGAGTCATGAAACATTAGCAGAGTTGAAACGTTAGTATAGCTGGAACTTGCTGTACTATGGTTACATTATTTAATTGTTGGGATTATTCATATCCAAATTGAAGCATTCATTATATTGCTTTTTTTCTCTTGGAGATGGACAGTCAAAATAAGGAGCTTAACCCAGGACTGTATTAGCTAGGCGTACTTTAGAGAGTTTTAGGTCATAAAACAAGGATGAATGTGAGTACAAATAACCTTTTATTATCTTCTATATTTTTCTTTTATTGAGTTCATTTTATTAGCAGTCAAAGTGTTGGAGCCATGATAAAGTGTAGCCTCAGGAAAGGGTATTTGTAATCCCTTTCAGATGCTTCAGCTTGTGGATTTCCTGGCTCATTACTAGCACCATGCATTACTAATTACTGAAGTGCTTACATCTTCCTTTTGTCTGTCTTTTCATTATTTTTTTTTCTATCTACTTGCAAGCCAGAAGGCAGTGGCACCAAAGAAGAACATCTATGGTAATAGAGGAAAGAGCAGGAAATTAGGAATGAAGTTCTGTCAGTTTGATTTCCTGGGAGAGTGAATTTGGGAAAATGACTGCTGCAGTATGTTGTGTAATTAGATGGCTTTCGGCTGTTTAAAAAAAAAAAAATTATATTGATTTTAACATTTTTAACAGCAGCACTACAGTTGATTTTTGCACAGCTGTGTGTCTAAATGCAAAAGAGATGCTTTTCATTCCCAGTTTTTAGTTTGAAGAAGTTCTGCAAAAGAAGAGTCAAGTACTTGGCTGGGATGTAAGTGTTGACAACGTGTTGTAAAATTAGAAAGTACATGAAGGGCTGAGTGTGTCATTCCAGGAAAGGTCTCTCCTGGAAGTTGCAGGAAGAATCTGGCAGAAGGAGTTGGCAGAAGGAGCCCCATGTCCTTGGGCTGAGTATGCACAGTGCTCTGCTGCTGGTACAGATGTCTGGGGTGGGTCTGCTGCTTCCAGCTGCAGAGGAGTGCTGTTCCACTTCAAAAGGCTTTCTTGAGTGATTGTAGAAACTGCCTACTGCAAACATTCATCTGCATTTTGCATCTTTAAGTGTTTCACACTTACTAGTATCAGTTCCTTGCAGTTCTGTGTCATTTTGGTCATTGTTCACGTTTTGCACAATCTCATGAATTAAGGCACGGAACAGAAAAAAGGTTACTTGCAAGCTGAAGTTTGATGTCTGTCTTTGGGATGCGCTTAGGGTGAACTTTCTGAGTAGCCAGTGGTCCTAGTGTAGAGTTCATATGGGTTCTGTATGTTGTGGACATCTTCTAAAGAATAATTCCAAGATTAGATGCGAGAGGATTTGTATGGTGGGCTAGCTGCAGCTTTTGTGCTAATGGCGCCCTATCAAATTTTTGACTCCCAGAAGTACGTTTGGTGAAAGGGGTGTTGTGTTAGGAGACACTGTCAGAGAGAGCGTGTGGTGTCAGCTGCATTCAAGGGGCCTGGGAACACTTTCAGCCTGTTTTGATCCATAGCCCAGCTGCAAGCAAGTTGCAATTGTGGTTTGCAACAAGTCTTGAAGCAAAATAAAATAATTGTGTGAAATACATATACAAGTCAATTTATGAATGTCTCTCAAACCATGCAAGTTAAATGGGATTATTTGGACTACTGTTTTTTTCTGAAAGCTTATTCTCTCTCATTCCTTTCTGATTCTGTGTTTAAACAGAAATAGTGCATGGATTTTTCCATATTTATTTTATATTTCTTTTGTTATTTACAGATCTATATTTTTTTTTTCCCCAAAAGAAAATAAAAACATAATAAAACTAAACTTCTCGTGGAGTGTTGCTTTCCTTCAAGTGAAACTAATGGCTGGACTCACTGTTTTAAATTGCTGCTGCTTATCAATGTTTTGTGATCAGTGTAGCTATATGAAGGTAGCAGTCATGGATTTTTTTTTCATATTGTGATAGCATGATGCTAGAACATCAGTGATTCTCAGAAGATTTAATTCTGAAAATAACTTTTATTAAACTGAAGGATACGTTTATCTTATGCTGAAAAGTGAGATTATTGTGTTCTTCCTCAGCGCTCAAAATTTCATTTAGAAGTATTTTCATGCTAGTCAATTTAGAAAAGAAAAATGAGTAAATATGTTCTGCTATCATGCTAGGGGTAACCCTTTTCTGTGAGACTTCTATTTAGAAAGAAAATGCGGTCACATCCAGTTTTACTCAACTGCTTTTCCAAAATACCTTTTTCTCTGTTATTTTAAGTTGTAGTTGTTTCTAAACAATGCTATTTCATATGAAAGATGAATTTAAAAAAATGGCGAAACTCAGTTTCCTTTATGATAAATTCCACCCCTGTGCTCTATATTTGACAGTGGGTGGCAGGGGGAACATGCAACATAGTTAACTCTTTCATCTTGTCAGAGCCAGGTAGTCTACCTCATCATCTGCGGTCACTGTAGTGGTAACATAATGCATGACTTCAATTCCAGTGCTAGCTGACACTTGTCCACTCCTGTATTTTGTCTTCTTTTAATAACTAGAGAATTGCAGTGCTTGTGAGTAACTTGTTAATGTATAGGGAGAAAGACTGTACTCAACTAATACTTGTGTGCACTTGCCAACAGACTCTAGGAATAGTCTCCCACAGTAACTCTCAGAAATGTTGAAGGCTGCCATCATTACTTGTGCAGAGCTGGTAGGAGTTATTAAATGTTTTTTCACCCACTGCACTGTGTATTTACCTCACTTTCTTAAAGTGCTGGTAAATGTCACTCTCTGAATTGGCTTCTGTTTTATGAGGTAGAAGTTACTCTGTTTCAATTTTAACCTTACAGATGCAATGAAAAGTTTAAATAGAAGAGAAAAGCTTTTTTATATTGCACCCATATATGATATGTCAAAGTGTTCTAGTGCATATCTGAGCTTGGCAACAGAAAACAGACAGAGGTAGCAACGCTGATTAATGATAAGATAAGAACGAAGAAAGTTCTTGAATGTTGAGATGAATTTTATAGGTTGTATGTAAGAAGTATTCATGTTGCAAACGCTGTTGGAAACTTGTTTCTAGCCTTTTTTATTGTATTTTCTGTTTATCCTAAGCTCACTCCAACACCTGTTAACAATTTAAGCCATACTTTGGATAGGTCATATTTAATTGAATGCATTGTGCATTGGCTTTGCCAAAATTGCAGCTCTTTTTGTGGTAAAATTTCAGCGCTGTACTGTTTCAAAAGCTTATCAGGTAAAAGCATTATTATAAGATTTCTTCCTTGCTATTCACACTCAATAGTTTGAATTATGGGTCAGCGTCTTCATTAAAAAATGTTTGTGTTGACAAATGTTATTATTTAGTCTTCAGAATCCTTCCTAATCTTTCCTAAAAAGTGTGCTTGTAGGAGTCTAACAGTGTGTTCTCACTTAAGATTTTGTGGAGATTTTTGAGGAGGCCAAGTTCAGATAATTCTAGAAAGGCAGTGGCCACAATATTTCTGAGAAGATCTGTGCTGAGCAATGCAGATGTTTCAAAAGGAATAAGTCAATACTGAGCTGTTAGATTTCCAGGTCCAAGTCTATGAGGAAGGTAGAACACTGCAGATCTATAGCCTGAACCTCAGATTAGTTATTTGCATAAAGATTATTAACATCAACATTCTGTTGCTTGTTTTAGAGCATTTCATCTTCCCGAAGTAGAAGCTCATCTCTGCTGCCACCTGGGACAGTTAATTCTCCTAGTGGCCAGAAACATATGAATCAAAGTGGGCCAACTGTTGTTACCATCACACATCACAAGTCACCTGCAGCTGCTCGAAGAGCTAAGAGCCAGCGTTCTGGCCAACTCCATGAAGTTAGAGAGGTAAGAAAATCTGATAAGACTTCTTGCATTGCTTTGGAATAAACAGTCTAATCTGACAAGTCAATACTTCTCTTTGTTTCCTACTCTCTATAACTGTTTTGTTTTGATCCCTTTGCTGAGCAAAAGGCTCTCTTTAGTTCTGGTTCAGCTTGAAGTCTGGTGTGTATAGGCTTTTTATTCTTTGTGCACATACATTAAAAGGTGAAGTAGCACCCAGACTTTGCAGTGGTGCTTCAGTGCTGGAGGAACATCTCTTTTAAGCTGCATGCAGCAAAACTTCAATTGGAAAAAGGACCATAAAAGATCTAAGTGTAACTGGAAAAGAATTATTCTGATGAATGAATGTGAAAGAAGGAGCAGCTGCCCCCCATCAGCAGTTTGTCTCTGTACAGCTGCGGTCTTAACTTCGTTGACATTTTGATGTTGTTGGTCTGTGATGGAAGAATGCTGTGTTCTTAGGAAACAAATAAAAATAAAAATAAAAATAAACAAAAACAAAGAAAAAATGTTTATTTAAATGTGTGTCTACCACAGTTTAAAAGCTGTAACTCCTATACTGATTTAAGTCTGTCTTCTAGACAGCAAAAATAGTACAGAGATAAAGCTTAATGTGGCAGACATTCACAGAACTCACTTTCATCTTTCATCCCTTGTTATTTTTGTTTTGTCTGAACTTCTTGCTATTCTCTAATAGTGCCTTTGTAAGTCCCCTTCCCACCTTTTCTACCAAAGAAACTGTTGGCAGCCTAACTTTAAAGCATTCTTTTATCACATTAGTTTAAAATATCTGCCTTCATCCTTTAAGTTACAATCTGAAGAATCTACTTTTAAGTTTTGTCTCCTGGAACGCTTTATGAATTGAGGACTTTTAAAATAAGAATTTGAATAAATTGTCTTTGTATGCTCTAATAGTGAGGACTTGGATTACACATTCTAGTGAAGAATGCTTTTTTTCTGCTAACAGTAAAAGTGAGAATTTCCCTTGCATTCGGTACTGTATTAACAATACTTGTTCCCTGCCCTGAATTCAGTAAAGTCACTGATTGTCACTGATATTAACTTTATATTACAGAGAAAACACATCTATTTGTTTTTCATTAGCATACCCTGTCTTTGTCATCTCCTCAAGTTGTTTCTACCCTACTAAATGTATTTGTTCTTATAGGCTGAATCCAGAGAGTACATTACTTCAATTAATAGAATAAACAGTGGGAGCTGTAGCAGATTCATTGAATAAAACTGAATGAGACTGAAAGGAATTGAAAAAGAGAGATTTAATGTGTAGTGTTCATAATAATTTGGAAAGGGACAAAATCAACAAATCTGAAGAACTGTATTTGGGAAGGAAATGAATACTAGCTTATGTTAAACAGAAAAAATGTCACGATACTATATATACAGAAAAGGCCTGGTGAATGCTGACTCATTTGTTTATAGAATATTGCAGTGTGATGTCATTGCTTAAAGGTAAATATGACAGGACTTTATTTTGTAATTATAGATAATAACTTCACTATATTTTATGTGAGTCACAGCTCAGGTAGAGCGTCAAGTCCTGTGAGAAAAGCTTAGAGAGCAACATTATAAAGAAAAAAATGATAGATACAGAGCACGTGATAAAAGTTCAAAGAAATGAATATTTTTCAAGGAGAGAAAATTGAGCTAAGATAAACATAGGAAGCTTTTATAAGGATGTTTTTGTGAATTAAGAAATGTGGCCAGAGGCATTCACAAAACTGCCCTTAAATCTGTTCTGGTCCTTTTTTATGTGAAGAAAGGAAAGGTAGGATGTAAAAGTGCAGAAAGAGAGTCAACAATCTTTGCTTTTTATTTGGACGTTGGTATGGTTACAGTGATAAGACAAGTCTGCAAGAGGTTTACAGATCTGTGTGTTAACGTTCCCTCCCTGATGAAGTAATTGAAACTTTGACATCCAAATAAGCCTTTTTTTTAATGTGCTATAAAGAGGACTATATTAGCATATTACATCTTGTAAAATGCAGTAGTTGAATCAATGGAAGGAGCTGATGTGCTTCTGGAAAATGAGAAGAAGCCTTTTTCCTTTTCTTTAGAGAAGGGAAGTATTTTAAACAGTGTTATGGTAATGCTGTGATTTCATCTGTGAGACCTCTGAAAAACGGGAATGCAGCAGAGGAGGTCATCCTTCACTTGGGATGTACACTCTTCACTACCTTGTGTAATATCCTTGGAAATTTGAAATTGTTGCTCAATTCTGGACCAATTTATTTTGATTTGATGAAGTTATTTGCAAACAGTGAAGTGTATCTCTGTGTAGCAAATAGGACGAATAACTCTGACATTTTGCAGTGATATTTGGTAATACGTGGTTGTTCTTTTTCCTTTCATAGTTGAAATTAACAACAGATTGTTTTCTGTTGTTGCTTGTTCCGGCTGACTTAATTTTTTTTTGGACAAAATAGAATACTATACCAAAGAGGACTAATTAGAACCAAACTGCTGTGCAAAATTTTATAAAAGTTGTAAAAGTGATCATGTAGATACCCAAAATGACTTATGCAGTAAAGTGTTTCTGTTCTGAAATTAGAAGTTTTCAAAATCAAAAATTAGATCACTTTTAAAAAGTTTTGGTAAGTGTAAATCTAAGCAGTAACCTGGAGCTTTTGACTGCCATAGAACTTAATACTTCTGCATAGTGCTGAGTTGAAAAGAAGCTAAGGATCATTGGTTTTCATTATGATGTATTTTTTAATTTAAATTCTGTTATTCTCTTAAATGAGATCTTTAACTTGATCCTTATTGTCCAGTCCAAATTGATTTTAAAATACTTCATCAGAAGTGAAATTCATCATGTATTAACTTGGAAGAGCTGGTATGTATGTGTATATATAAATACATAGTTCTGCATATGTATATATGCAGAATTATTCAAGATCTGACCTCTCTATTTGGCCATAACTTACCATTAAAGGAGTGATTTCGACGACTGTTTTATAGTAATCAAAGTGTGTTTAGTCTTGACATCACGTTCTGTTTTTTAAACTGTACGTATCATTGTCCTCTTTGCAATTTGTGGTAAGAGCTATATCTGCAGAATTCTTTCCTATAGGTGGTTAAAATTAGCTGGAACATAAAGTCAAGTGGCTGCATCATGTTTCTTATTAAATTTTAGCTGCCACTGAACTGAGTAATTGTGGCACACTTTATCTTGGAACAGTGTTCATTTTGGCTGAGAATAAGTGATTAGAATCTAACCTCTGCCAGTGTAACTGCTGTTGTTGAAGAACAAGAATTGCAGTATGTGAACGTTTTATAACAACATACGTTAATAATTTACAGATCATTGGAGAAATTAAATAGGGCTAGCCAGCAGAAATCTAGAGAAATATTTATTTTCCATCATTTTGAGGAGTTAAAAGAAAACTTTGGATCCCTCTGGAATATGGTGTGTTTAACAAGCTATGATACTGTATAATGGACTTATCATTGGCATGTGTTCTGAGCACCTGTAGTGAGATCTGGATTTCATTTCATGAGGCCTCCACCAAGGTGATATCCATTGCAAGTAGAAGTCCCTGACTTTGGTGAGGACTGCTTTTTGGCAAGATTACAATCCTGCTGCTTCTTGCCTCTCCATGGCCATATATTATTATATTATATATTATTACCTTTTGTTCCCTGCGGGAATTACACAACTGACTAGTAAGTTATTTGCTTCCTCTAGAAATCTGCGTTCCTCATACAGAATCACAGAATTGCCAGGGTTGGAAGGGACCTCAAGGATCATGAATCTCCAACCCCCCTGCCACATGCAGGGCCACCAACCTTCCCACCTAATGCTAGACCAGGCTGCCCAAGGCCCCATCCAATCTGGCCTCGAACACCTCCAGGGACGGGGCATCCACAACCTCTCTGGGCAGCTGTTCCAGCACCTCACCGCTCTCACTGTAAAGAACTTCCCCCTGATGTCCAACGTAAATCTCCCCTCCCTCAACTTAAAACCATTTCCCCTTGTCCTGCAGTTATCAACCCTTTCAAAGAGTTGATTCCCCTCCTCTTTGTAGGCTCCCTTTAGGTACTGAAAGGCTGCAATGAGGTCACCCCGCAGCCTTCTTTTCTCCAGGCTGAACAAGCCCAGCTCCCTCAGCCTGTCCTCATAGGGGAGGTGCTCCAGTCCCCTGATCATCTTCGTGGCCCTCCTCTGGACCCTCTCCAACAGCTCCCTGTCTTTTTTGTACTGGGTGCTCCACACTTGGATGCAGTATTCCAGATACAGTATGAGAAGTGCAGCATGCTGCACTTTCTTCCTAGCTGTCCAACAGTGTTGGTGTGATTAATTACTATCTATGCTGTTGTAGACAAAAAGTTAAATTAAACCATGTAGGAACAGATACAATTATTTGATGTCTTCCAGGGCAGTTTCTTTGGAGACTGTTTGATTTGTCTGTAGATGTGTCATCTCCTAAGGCTGTTTGTTCTACCTCAACTTAGTGTTGCATAACTTAATAAAAAAAAAAAAGTCTCCTTAGGGAATAAATGGGATGCTTAAATCTGTGGGTATCAGGCTAAGTAGTAAATGTGCATGTGCTTATAAAAATTACAGTACTATAAATCAGTAACTATTAAGTTGTATAGGCAAGAGTGGAATACTTTTATTATGCAAATCTTCACCTTGCCTTTGTAGTTCAATGCATACGAGTTGCACCTTTCTAAACTACACTTTGTTCTTAACTTTTCTTGAATATGAAATCAAATGCAACGTTACCTTGGACTCCAAATACACAAGCAGGGACAATTAAGGTTGCTATGGGAATCACAGAGCAAATATTCTACTAAATTACACCATTTGCCCATGTGAGTAATGTCAAGAGTGAATGTCATTTGTTATCTGTTTGATTTTGTTGTTGTTCCAAATCTGAAAAATATTAATGATGCAAACATGGCTTCTTTTTATTAGATTTTTCTCAACCAGTAGTTTAGTAGTAATTGAGTATGTGGAAAGATGATCATTTTCAATCACT